CCAGCATCCCCAGGTCCCCCAGCATCCCCTGATGCCCCCCTAGCTATAGACATCCAGCATCCCCAGGTCCCCCAGCATCCACTGGTGTCCCCCTAGCTCCACAAGCCCAGCACTCACTGGTGTCCCCCCATCTACAGAACCCTGCAGCAGCCGCGGACCCACACGCCCCCCAGCCCCCCCAGAACACCTCGGAGCCCCCCAAACACCCCCTCACCCGCATCCCCCGGCCCCCCCTCCAGCGCAGCGGTGTCCCCGCAGCCTCGAACCCGTGGCCCTGGGTGCTGCCCGGCTGAGCCGCGCGGTCCGTGCCGGCCGCCGTAGCGGCGGGGCGGCCATGGCGGCCATGGCGGCGCGGGCGGGCTCGCTGGTGGCGGCCGTGCTGGCTCACTCGGGCCGGCTGGACAAGGAGCACCTGGGCACCCGCGTCGGGAGGCTGTCCCGCCGCGTCGAGGAGCTCAAGGCAGGGCTGTGAACGGGGAGGGGGGGAACGCAGCGGGGAGCGGGGCCGAGGAGCTGGTGCGGGGCAGGGTGTCCGGCCCTGGAGTCGGACTGGAGGGTCCGCCCTGGTTCGGAGCGAGGTGTTCGGCCCGCAGTGGCCAGGCCTGGGTCAGCCCGGGGTGCCCCAGCCCGGGGTCAGGCAGATGAGGGTGTCCCACTAGCCCTGGCTGAGCCTGGAGTGCCCAGCCCTGGTCACTCAGAGCAGGGTGCCCAGTCCTAGGTCGGCCCTGGGTCAGGCCGAGGTACCCCTCTGCGTCCCGGAGTGTCCCTCTGCGTCCCGGAGTGTCCCTCTGCGGAGACATTCCAAACCCCAGCCCCACCTGGTCACTTTGCTGTGTCACCTGCTCCGGGTGACCCTGCCCTTGGCAGGGGGGTTGGACTGGGTGATGTCCAGGGGTCCCTTCCAACCCCAGCAGGTTTGGGATTCTGTCCCAGCCCTGGGTCATACTGGGGTGTCCAGCCCTAGTTCATCCTGGGGTGCCCCCCTCTCTCACCCCCCACTCCCTCTCCACAGGGAGAAGTCTGCAACATGATAAACAAGAAGTACAACGAGTTCCTGCCCAGCATGCAGAGTGCAGAGGAGCTGGTGGCACAGGTGGACGGGCTGTCCAGCAACATTGACCTGCTCAGGGCGAGCATCGAGAACGAGGTGACTCCGGGGAGGGCATTGGGGGATTCCACGCGGCTTTACCCCAAATCTGCAGCCCATCCTGGTGTGCTGGGAGGGGACTGGGGGGAGGAGGTCACAGCCCCAAGGCTGCCAGAGCTCGAGGAATGTTTGGACAACACTCTCAGGCACAGGGTGGAATTTTGGAGTGGGTGGGTGGCAGGGCCTGGAGTTTGCCTTGATGATCCTCGCGGGTCCCTTTCCACTCCAGATATTCCATGATTCTGTGACTCTTGACTCCTTAGGCACCACCCCTAAGGAATGTCTTGAGGTGACTCAGGTGTGTGTGACAGCAGGGTGTAAGTTAGGAGCTGTCATTAAGGATTGTCCTGTTGCTGTGCAGGTGGGAAGGTGTGTCACAGTGTCCTTCCCAAGAGAAGGACCAGCCCTGGCTGTTGCAGGGGACGTGACACACAAACTGACCCATGTTGGTCCCAGGGTGGTTTAGGGCAGAACAGGAACTCAGATCATACCTGTGCACATCCAGTGAGGTCTTAGGGGGAACGTGAGCAGCTCCTGCAGGTCAGATTGAAGACTCACACTCTGATTATTGCCTTTTTGATGTCCCAGCATCTTGAGTTCTGCAGTGGTGTTCACTGAGAATTGACTTTTGGCTCAGTTCAAGCATCCTTGTGTTTGAAATGGCTGTGCTAAAGAAACACTGAAATGATTATAACTGCATTTCAAGATTGAACTTCCTTGGAGTGCCTTTAAAAAAACTGTAGTCTAATAGGAACTGGATGATTTTTAAGGGCCCTTTCAACCCATTCTACAAATCTTATGTGTTTAAGGAAAAACCAGTCTTATAAGTGTTTCTAGTGTCTATAAGGAGTAAAACGGATGGAGCCTTTTTCCTCCTCACCAAATTATTCTAGTAAGAGAAATACTCTAACTCTCATGTGTAAGAGGAAATGTGCCTGATAACAATTGCTGTCAGTGAACTGAACAATTTGCTATTTCAGGTCCAGCAAGATCTGAATGTGGCTGTTGCTGAATTTGCAGAGCTGAAGCAGCAGCTGGAGAGGGACACACTGGTCCTGAGTGTCCTGAAAAAGCTGCAGGAGGTGAGGAGGGGAGGTGGGGGGGGGGGCGGCTTAAAATCGCTCTCCTCAGTCTGAGACACCGTTCTGGGCTTCTCTTTTGAACATCTGTAACTCCCCTGTCTCTGTAGTTTAAAATTGTGGTTTCACAGCAGAGCTGTTGAATCTGATCTGAGTCTGTGTGACTGTTGCAGTTTGACAGAGCCATTAAAGAGCACAAGACTGCCTTGCTGGAGAAGAAGTACGTTGCAGCAGCTCAGCAACTGGAAAAGGTAATAGTGACTTCCTGAGCATAAACTGCACCAGCTCCTTGGCAGGGGCAGCACTGAGCAGTGTTTTGTGTGTCTGATCCTCCCCACCAGGCACGGAGCAGCCTCAGGAACCTGGAATCCCGCAAGGGCTTCGAGCTGAAGATCCTGAGGGCGCTCGGCACGGAGCTCACGGTGCAGACACAGAACATGCTCTGCCACCTCGGGGAAGAGTGGCAGAAGCTCATTGTGTGGCAGCTCCCTCCTTCCAAAGGTGCTCACAGTTCTGCTCTTTTTTGCTGGTTTTGCTCCACTGTTTGAAATGCCTGTTTCCAGGCACAGACAAGATGGGAAATGCACTAAAACTGTTGGAGTAAGGTGGTTTAATGAGCTCTTTCCCTCTGAACGTTGCTTCAGCTGCCACCTGAGGACTGAGTAGCTTGTCATATCCCATTCTGACTGAGCTGGTGGTTCTTTGTGTTTAGAAAGCAGCCTGGAGGCAGTGGTGCACTCAGAGCTGCACTTACACACGATGCCATCCAAGGAGGAGGAGGTTGCTGGCCCACCCGTGGCGTCCGTGCTCCAGGCCTTGGCTGTCCTGGGAGAGCTGCACACCAGGCTGAAAGCTTTTGGTAAGACAGACCAGGTTGAACCTCACTGGAGCAAACTACCTTCCTCCTGCTGTTGGAAAACATTTTTTTCTTTCATTTTCTCAGGCCAGTTGTTGCTGAAGTACATCCTGAAGCCGGTGATTTCATACCCATCTCTGCAGCCACTCCCCGAGGAACGGCCTGACGTGCTCATCCTGAGGTTTAAATCCGAGGAGCCTGTCTTGGATCACTCCTCTCCCATGGAGGTTTTTGACAAGATCAAGCTTATTTTCGAAGTTCTCCACAAATATCTGCTAAGTAGGTAGCTTCTTCCTTTTGTAATTAGTCGATGATCAGTAGTACCTTGTTTGTGTAATTGGAGCAGAAGTTTCCAGAATATCTGGTTGTTAATCGCTATTAGATGTGAGGGAAGTACAGGAGGGAAGTCTTTGGAACTGATGAAGGGTCTGGTCCAGGAAACAGGTGTATTAAAATCCATTTGTATTCTCTGGAATCCAGATGTGCCTCTTGAGCAGCCTGGGGAGGACAGGAAGGATGGCAGAGTGACACTGGCAGAGCTGCTGGGTGAGCTGATCTGGGAAGAGCTCTCCAACTGCCTCGTTCAGAACTGCCTGGTGAACTCCATCCCAACCAACAGCAGCAAACTAGAGCAGTACACAGAGGTGGGTCTCAGAAAATCCCTCAGGAGGTGCCAGGTGCCCAGTTTGAACACAGAGCCCCAGGTAGCCCAGGGTGACATTTCAGTGCTCGGTGCACTCTAAAACCTATTTTCATCCCTTGCTTTCGGCCGAGTGGAAGTTTGTACAACATTTTCGTTTGGTCCTTTGATTCTGGGAGACTGTGTTAATGTAAAACATGTGTCTGCTCTTCTCAGGTGATTAAATCCACAGAGGAATTTGAAAAGGCATTGAAGAACATGCAGTTTTTGAAAGGAGACACGACTGACCTACTGAAATACGCCCGTAACGTCAACTCCCACTTTGCCAGCAAGAAGTGCCAGGATGTGATTGCAGCAGCCAGAAACCTGATGACCTCAGAAATCCACAACACTGTAAAGGTGATGCAACACACATTTTTTCTGGAAAAATAGGGGTTGGGGAAGGATTGTCTACAACAGCCAAGTCGTTTTTTTGTGGAGCACTTGGGATTATTTGGGGATCTCGGCAGACAATTTCTAAACATCTTTTAATAGTGCTGTGATCTTGTGTTTCCCTTGAGTCTTAATCTGTGTCATTCAGTGCTTTGTAATCTTGCACAGTGTCCTTTCTGTGGGCTCTGAATTCCGTTACCCCTCTCTCTTGTCTCTCCTCAGATCACACCTGACTCCTGTGTAACCCTCCCACAGCTTCCTGACCCTGGGTCAGGAGACCACTCGAAAATGCAAAAGTCCCCCAGCCTTCTGCACAATGGCACGGTGAACTTGGAGGGTGAGACCAGACTGAGCCAGTACACCTTCTGCCTGCCCACGTGCCGGATCAGCTCCTCCGTGGAGCAGCTCATGGAGCTGGTTTATCAGACGCTCCTGGAGGCCACAGTCAGCACAGACCAGTGGTAGGAGTTACTGATCAGTAATCTGTGTGGCAGAGTCTCACTGCCTCTAGCAGCACCCAGCATCTGTTAATAGGTTAAAGGAACTTCAAAAGAATAGAATGTACTTCAAAATCAGTCATTAAAATTACCCTCTTTGTGGCTGGTGGATGCAGCCCTGGGTTTATGCAGGAGACTGGTACAGCTGCAAACTGTGCTGCCTGCAGTACTCAGATTAAGCAGCTTTTTGGAGTTGGGTTTTCAGGGAACATTCAGGTGCACTGCCTTGTATTTTAGCTCCTAAAGCAGTGTAGCCACTGTGAACTCCCCAGTGTGCACAACACAGTCCATGGCTTCATGGGAGAGGTGCTGCTGCAGTGTTCTCTTTACTGATTTATCCCACCCTAGCTCTCAGCTGAGAGCTCTCAGTTCTCAAACCCATCTCTTCTTTCCAAACCAAATGGTAAGTGCTGGCACCCATTGTGAGCAGAGTTCTTGCTGTCTTTGTGCTGGTGAAAGCAAAGAGCTCCAGCCCTGCAGCTGGCAGGGCTCTTGAGAGAAAACAAATATTGAGGACCACATAAAGTCTGTTTAAAAAACAGAGACCCCAGGGCTGGAGCAGGAGAGTTGCCCAGGTAACCCTTCAGTGGCAGAGAGGGGGCTGAGTGTTTGTGCACACCTGGTGGGGAAGGGACACTGTCCCCTTTGTTCTGGGGTTTCACATATCTCCCTTCTGAAGCTTTTCCACACTGAACTTACGAGGTCACCGCAGCCTTTGTGAGTTTTCCAGAACGCTGACATGGCTGTAGCTGATCCTGACAATCCCCTCTTTGTGCCAGTGCTTCAGTGCTTATAAAGCCCTGTTTTGGAGAAGGCTGAGGGTCACCTGTGAACAAGACATTAATCCCAGTGCCAGGCTGACATGAACCTCTTTTTCCCTGTAGCTGTGTGCAGCTCTTCTACTCGGTGAGGAGAATCTTCCAGCTGTTCTATGAAGTGGTGCCAACATACCACAAGTAAGTGTGCCTGTGTGTGTTCCCTAGGGCTTGTTTTGAGAGGGAATAATGCTACTGGGACACTCCCACTTGGAGATTACTGAGGGCTTTCTCCAGCAGCAAAAAGCTGCTATTAATCTATTACTAAATCATATCTGTGCAAAGTAGGTTCTTGCATGGTTGTATTTGTTTCCAGCCATGTAACTTTGGCCCCAGGTCTGATGCACAGATTTTTAATGATGTTTTTCCTGCAAAAAAAAGGCAGCAGTGAAGACTGAAAAGACACAATCCTGTCAGAGAACACTGGAGTGTTCCTGACAGGACTTCTCTCCCTCTTCCTCACCATAACTTTGCTGTAACAAAGTATATTTCTGTTTGAAAGCCCATGGCTAGAAAAAGTGGGGGATAACACATGGTTCAAATGCTCCTTTCCTGGAGGATCCTTTGGGGATGTGACAAGTTCAGTGTTTTTATTCTGACTGGTGCCAGTCAAGCCTCACCCATTTTCTGCAACGCCTGCAGTGAGTTTCTCTAGGGTAGGCACGCCTATTTTTGAACAGATTAATGAATAAATACATTTCTTCCTTCTCTCTTCCTCCTGCCTGGGGCAGGGAGAGCCTGCAGAAGTTCCCCCAGCTGGCAGCCATCCACCACAACAACTGCATGTACCTCGCCCACCACCTGCTCACCCTGGGCCACCAGTTCCGCTACCGCACCACCAACATCCTGAGCAACGGGGCAGCCTCCTTTGTGGACCTGGTGCCTGCCTTCAGGAGGCTGGGTAACACACCTTCCCCTCCCAAAACACGCACGTGGGTCACGTGGCACGCAGCCCTGGCAGCTGCTATGGGTGCTTTGAGGGAGGTGTGGCTGCTGACTCCCTGTGAGCAGTGCATTGATGGTTTTTGGACAGGTGGCAACAACATTTTCTAAATTGGGAAGTCTTGGCTCTTTGGAACCCAGCTCTTGTCCAGCTTGTAGTTCCAAGAACTATGTGTGTTCCAGCACAGCGTTGTAGCACTGTATTTTGGGATCTGCTGCTCAGTCCTTTGATGTTTTCTTCAGCTTATCCCGTGGGAACAAATTCAGAGACAAGTTTGTGTGAGCTAACAGGAGTCATCTACAGTTAATTCTGCTGCTCTGCTCTTTTTCAGAAGTGCTGTAGCAATGCAAGCTGCACAAGAACTTACTGGTTAAATTGGCTCTGTGAGACTGTTTAGGGACTGGAAATTCAATTAAAAATAAAACACTATGGCAAGTTCATTATTCAGCAGTTACAGTCATAAATAGGCACAGCAAATTTAGTAATTGCTTAATTGCTTCTCTCTGCTTGCTCTTCCTCCTGAAGGGATGGAGTGTTTTAAGGCCCAGATGCGAGTGCAGAAGGGGGAAATCCTGGAGAGGCTCTCAAGTGCCAGGAATTTTTCTAACATGGATGATGAGGAGAATTTCCGTGCAGCAAACAAAGCAATAAGGCAGGTAAGGAAGGCAGTCAAAGCCAGAGTTCCCTGTGTCTGCAGGTGTCCTGGGGAAGGTCCAGTGTGTAATCTCAGTCCTGTTTCAGCAGCGTGGAACTGTTAAAACAGCTATTTTCTGACATGTTTGTGTTTTTTTTTTTTATCCTGGGCTGTGTCTTTAGCAGGATATTTTATTGCCTTTTGCTTCTCTCAGCCTGGTTTCTGACCATATGTGGTCACCTTATCACTTGGTACCTTCTCATATGTTCTTTTTGATAACATGGAGGTAACACAGAGCTGTTAATTCCAGGTATTGCATCAGCTGAAGAGGCTGGGCCAGGTCTGGCAGGATGTCTTTCCAGTGAACGTGTACTGCAAGGCCATGGGGACCTTACTGAACACAGCCCTGACAGAGATTGTCACCAGGATTGTTGCCCTGGAGGTACCTGCTGGGGTGGATGTGCCAGCCCTGGGGTGGTGGGGACAGCTGGAATTTGTGACCTTGCTGATCCCAAAGTCAGATTTCAGGGGAACAGTTGCCTCTCACAGAAACTGTAACCCTGTGTCCACGGGAAATGTTCACAACACCAAGTTTTGATTTCACTTGGCACTGCACAAATAACTCTCCCTGCTCCACTGTTGATGTTTCCTCAATTCCAGGATATCTCTGCAGAGGATGCAGACAGGCTGTACTCACTCTGTAGGATCATGGTGGAGGAGGGACCCCAAGTCTTCACCCCTCTACCTGAAGAAGAGAAGAACAAGAAGTACCAAGAGGAAGTTCCAGTCTACGTGGAGAAGTGGATGACATTCAAAGAGCTGATGATCATTCTGCAAGCCAACCTCCAGGAAATAGTGGATCAGTAGGTGTTTTCCTTTCTCCCTTCTCAGCTGGTTCTCAGGTGCAGGGAGCTTGGAAGTGTCTGACTCACCAAAGGCTCCCAACTCTACTTCCACCTGGACATAAACCACTTCCTTGTGTTCTTAAGGAGGTAAATGGGAATTTTGCAGACTGGCTTTAGGCATTTTAGGAGAAAGAAAAGGTCCTGAGTGCAGGAGTCACCTCACAACCTGGTGCTTTGTGTACCTGGCTAGCCAGTTGTGGGCTGGGGCTGCACACGTACCTGGTTAGTGAGCACTGGCACAGGTCCTCAGAGGCCTGTCTGAATGTGCCATTCCCAGGCAGTTTGGTTAAAGAAAGCTCTTTCTCTTCCCTGCAGGTGGGCAGATGGGAAGGGCCCTCTGGCAGCCGAATTCTCAGCAGCTGAAGTGAAGAGTCTGATCCGAGCCCTGTTCCAGAACACAGAAAGGAGAGCAGCAGCACTGGCCAAAATCAAGTGACCCCACGTTTACACCTGCACTTTGCATCTTCTGATAAAAGCGAGAGCAAACTGAGACTTTCAAATATTTTTTTGATCTTTTTTATTTGTACTGGTGTTTAAAAAAAAAAAAAAAAAGATTAGAATTGGGTAAGTGCTTCGTGGAGCTTGGCTGGGGGAGAAGGAACATTTCCTAGCTCAGTGTTTGACCAGGAAATCCCAGGTGAGGAACACACAGACACCTCCTACCATGCTCCCCACAGGAGTTCTGCCCAAATCCAGGTTCTCCTTCAGCAGCTGGTGGGTGTCCTGGTGGAGGAGAGATGCTTTTGCTGATGCTTGCTAGTTCCCATTCTCTAGGATTTCATCTTCCTGTTCAGCCCAGCATAGGAAAACAAATCAAACCTTGTATCCAGCATCTCTGTGAGCACAGGCACTGCTGCCAGATAAGCCTCCCATGTGAGGTGCTGTGTGTAACCTCATCTCAAACTGGCCTCAGGGTCCTGGAGAGGGATTCTTATTGCTCAGTAGTGACTCATCTATGCAGTTGTACATCAGGGGCCTGTAACCCCTCTCTGTCTTACCTCTTGTGTCCCTGCAATTACACATGAAACCCACACACTGAGAGCTCTTGATATCCTCCCAGGGATGCTGAAGTGCCAAACTTAGCTCTTTCCCACCTCAGGTTCTCCTGAGGGACAGACCTCAAGAGAGCAGCAATTTAGGGGGCATTTGGGGAAAGGAGATCCTGTGCAGAGTGCAAATCACAGGGTTTTGCACAAGTAGCAAAATTCTCTTATTTCTCATGGAAAATATCTTAAAACTGACTTAGAATTTTTCAGTCTCGCTTTACCAGCTGTAGAAGCCAGTTCAGCTCCTTCCTTTGTGTTTTTGTTGGCTGTGAAGTGGGTAGCTCTGGAGTCTTTCTGGTATTATATGTTCTGTCCTTTAAGAATAGTGAGAGAAGTGCAAACGAATGTAAAAAGGGAATGAAAGGTGCACTCGTAGCATTGTCTTTCTCAGTCACAAAAGGTTATGGTTTAGATTTTGAGAAATGCATATTTAGCTGAAAAACTCACTGAGATTGTTCACTTAAACTAGCCCAGAGGCCAAGATGCTGCACACGTGGAGCAAAGTTCTTCCTGCCCTGTACTGCTCACAAAAGTTTCAGTCACAGAGCTTGGTGGTTTTAATCTGTTATCTCCTCTTGTATCCTTTTTTATTCGCACTTTTGTCCAACTTCTGTTCCCATTCCAAGCATTTTTGCCAGGCCTGAGGCCCTGACTTATGTCACCCAAGTCCTTGCAGAACCCTTCTGCACTGGTTTAAGTGGTGTGAGGAGGGGGAAATCCAATCTAATGGGCAGTTAGACAGAGCCCAGCACCTGAGAATGCAGCAGGGATGGGAGATACTGGAGCAGAGTCTGCCACTCAAAACTCAGCTTTCTTCCCCTCCAAGGGATTGACCCAAAGGCTGAGAGTGTTGCCCTTACACTGACATCTCATAGGACCCCCTGTCCCTTTTATACACAGCAATCCAAAAAAACCCCACCTGTTTTGAAAAGCACCACTTCTCCCATGTTTATTGTTCACAGAAATGTAATTTGCTATTTTCTTTAAATAAACTATTTATACTGAGCACTTTTGAGGTTCTTTTCGGGTTACAGTGACAGGATGAATCGCTCCCAGACCGTTCTCCACTCCTCACATGGAGAGGACAAGGTGTAGCTCTGTGAAGTCCCTCCTTGCCTGATTTCTAGTAGATCTAATAAATGAAAACAGAAGAATCAGTACTGTAGAAGAGGTCATCCCAGAGTGCCCTGGGTCAGGGGGAGTGGCAGAGTTCAGTGGGATGCTGGCACTGGGATTTGCCTCTGGAAGATGCAGGGCTGTAGAGCAGGCTGGGCACACAGCTGGGCTTACCTCGGTGACCTGGAAAATCCAGGGCAGCAGCTGAGCCACGTTGGTGTAGACCCCGGGGTGGTTGGGCTCGGCACAGCCCTGGCCCCAGCTCACGATGCCCACCAGGCGCCACGTGGATCCATCCCAGCACACGAGGGGGCCCCCACTGTCCCCCTGGGGGCACAGCCAGGGCTGAGGGGGCAGCTCAGGCAGATCACAGAGCCCCAGACTGGTTTGGGTTCAAAGGAACCTTCGAGTTCATCCAGACCCACCCCTGCCACGGGCAGGGACACCTTCCACTGGCCCAGGTCGCTCCAAGCCCCATCCAGCTGGACAAACCGGACACTCCCAGGGGTGGGACATCCAAAACTGGGCATCCTGCCTCCCCAAGGCCGGTATCTCCCAGCTGTGCCCCCCAGGAGGCTGGCAGGTGGCATCCCCATGGGTGGGTTACCTGGCAGGTGGCATCCCCATGGGTGGGTGGGTTACCTGGCAGGTGGCATCCCCAGGGGTGGGTGGGTTACCTGGCAGGTGGCATCCCCATGGGTGGGTGGGTTACCTGGCAGGCATCCACCTGGCCGCGGGCGTGGCCGGCACAGAGCATCCTGGCCGTGAGCCCCCCCGGGTACATGCACGAGCTGTTGCACCTCCGCGTCCCGATCAGCGGCACCAGCGCCTCCTGCAGCGTCCCAGCCAGCTGCGCTGGGGTGGGGAGAGAGGAGCCACGAGGGAGAAACAGGCCCTGCAGGGAGCAGCAGGGCAGAGCGGGGCACTAGGCTGGGGAAGGCAGAGATGGGAAACTGGGACTAACTTGGTGGGATTGGTGTGGCCAGGCCTGCAGGAGGCTGCGGGGTGGAGGCTGCTGGGTGAGATGAGGGCAGGGGGTGTGTTTTGGAAGCTCACACGTGGAATGGAAGGGGCTGGATGGGGCAGGGGGAAAGTCTCTGGGCAGCGCTGAGGGACAGGATGGGAGCTCACCTTGGTCAGGGGTGGTGTAGCCCCAGCCAGAGACCCAGCACTGCGTGCCCTGCAGCAGGTCCTGGTGGGAGGGAGGCAGGCACACGGCTCGGATGGCAGCTGGGGAGAAGGGGACAGGGAAAGCGCCAGGGCAGCAGGGACAGCTCTGGCAGCAGCAGCCAGGGAAGGGCTGCAGAGCCCTCAGCTGGCTCAGAGATGTGAAAGGCTCTGGGTATCCTGCAGGAGCATCAAGGCCAGCCTGGATGGAGCTTTGAGCAACCTGTGATAGTGGAAGGTGTCCCTGCCCATGGCAAGGGGTTGGAAATGGATGAGCTTTAAGGTCCCTTCCAACCCAAACCATTCTGTGATGCTGAACTTGTCAGAGCTGCTCTGAAGGGGCAGGTTCAGAAGAGGCTCGTTTTTGGGCAGCTTTTCACTGTAGGACAGGACAGACAATTCCTCAGAAGGACACAACTACTTCTTACCCGAGAAATTGAGGGGCACTCGGAGCTTCATGAGGGCGATGTCGTAGTCGAGGCTGTTGTGGTTGTAGAGCGGGTGATGAACGATCTCCTGGACTGGCACCCCGGCCTCCTGCCTGAGGGAGCCGTGGGTGACAATCCCTGCAAACACCCGCCAGGCAGAGCCCTGGAGCCTCCTGGAGCTGGGCAGAACACACAGCACAGCACACAGCATGCCCTGAGCCGAGGGCAGCGGGCACCGAGAGCTGGGGGGACAGCAGGGCGGGCAGGGGGGCTGGGGGTACCTGTGCACGCAGTGAGCTGCCGTGATGATCCACTCCCGGGCCAGCACCGAGCCCCCACAGCGGTGCTGGGAGCCCTGGCACACGCTGACCTGCCAGGGCCAGCGCCCAGGGGGCACATCTGCCCCCCCGACCACCCGCACGGCCCCGGCGGGCAGCCCACACTCTGCAAGGGGGTAGGACGGGCTCCAGCCCCACACCCTCACCCTGCAGGGCGAGGGGAGCGGGAGCAACGGGAGCAAAGGAGCTGCTGGATCCAGGCAGAGCTCCTGGGGACGTGGGAGAGGAGGGAATGGCTCACCTGAGCACCTCAGAGCCACGATCCGCCCCGAGTCACAGCTGCTCCTGCGCAGGAATAAACCCTCCTGGTCAGGATAAACAGCAACCAAAACCCCCAGGGCACTGGGGAGCCCCAGGGCGGCTGCAGCACCTCCCAAAGGGGCTGTTTACTGCACAGCACCTGCACAGTTTGCTGTGTTCTTAAACCTAAAAGAAAAGGCTTCAGCCGACTCTGCTTCCCCCCGAGCTGCCCTTACCTGACCTGCCACAAGTCTTCCAGGCTCCCCTCCTGGTGGGGTCTGACCTGCAGGAACTGCTGCTGCTCATTCACCCTGAGATCCGTCAGGTTCACTCCTTTCTGATGGGTCATTCTGCAGAAACAAGGGGAATTGCCCCAGGAAGGGGATCAGGAATGTGACACAGTCCTGCAGCTCTGGCCGCCAGGAATGAACCTCCGGGCAGGGAGGATCTTCTGGAGCCGTTCCTGCAGGTCATCCCAAGTCCCAGGTTCCACCTGCTGCCCCAACAAACCCCCAGCCTTCCATCTCCTGCTTTTGCCAAGATCATCCCCCCCAGAAAAGGACAAACAGGGGCCCAAGCAGCTGCCTCTGCCGTGCCCACCTGAGGAACCCGAGCTGCTGGCAGAGCAGGGTGCCCAGGGAGCCATTCCAGCCCTCGTGGCACACCAGGAGCCAGCCAGGACGTCCTTCCAGCTGAGCTTCCAGCAGGGAGTTCGCCGTGTTTATTCTGAAAGACACTAAAGCCACTCCATTACAACCTGTGAGCCCCCTTCAGAGTGTTCTGTGCAGCCTCACACACGGCTAAAACAAGAAAAACCCACCCAAACCCCCAGAAAGAGCAGCTAGAAACTAGAAGTGATCCCAGTCACTGGGTGGTCACAGGAAAAGGAGCCCAGCAAAGGTGCAGTTCTGGGGGAAGCAGCAGGACTTAGAAGAGAAGCCAAACAACTGCAAAATGCAGCTCGTGGGTCAGCAGGAGATACTTGTTCTTAAAGAGCCTCTCTTCTGTTCTTTCTGGGCTTGGCAGGAGTCCTCTCCCCACCCTTTCTGGCAGCAAGCAGAGACACAAACCTGCACTGGGAGCCCCCCGGACCACGGGCTCTTCCTCTTCCCCGTCACTGCAGGCTGGGATCGCATCAGGCTCCTGCAGCAGGGGGGGCTCCTGCTC